GGCATTTTTTTTTTTTTTTTTGTCAGAAAACCGTTTGTGTGGGTGTTTCTAATTCAACGGCAAATTTGACATCTTTCTCATATCTGACCAACAATCTCTCTCTCTATATTTGTTTCCTCATTCGGAAAGTCATAGAAATGCTGCCGTGGATTATTATTTTTTTGGCAGTGGCTATTTGCATATTAGTGCAAATAGCAATAGATTCTATATTACACAGGATTTTCTGCTTACTTATTGCAAATACTGGCAATTATTTGCACCTCAGTATTGTAAATTATAAAACATTATGCAATAATGATGTATTGAGTGTAAATTTATAATTTTAATTCAAATTATTAAATGGATGCCACCTTATTAGGACAAAAAGCCCTCCCTAGACCTACCCTAACACTACCTGATACTTTATTTTAAACTTTTCGATTATTTCCTTCATTTTTATTGAAAATAAATGCCTTTCTGATGTGATATGAAATTTGAAAAGGGCGAAAAAAAATTTTTTTGCAAAAGGCGGATTCAAACTTGGGTCGATCACGTCAAAAAGACTATGCCACACGTTTTATCATTATGCCACTAGAGTTGATATGAATTCACTGAATTCAATGATGAACTGCCTTTAACTGAAAATGTAGTGTTTACTGTTGTTATTTTGCATTATTGACACACTGTTTTTCCTATTTAAAGGGGTGGTTGATTGCGATTTCACTTTTTTAACTTTAGTTAGAGTGTAATGTTGCTGTTTGAGCATAAACAATATGCTGTAAAGTAACGGCGCTGAAAGTTCAATGGAAACAGAGATATTGTCTTTTAAAGAAAAGTCTGTTTAATGCCTACAATTACGTCTGGAGCTTCTTCCCGGGTTGGTGACATCACAAACCCTGCAATTAACATAAACCCTGCCCCTGGGAACATGCAACAAAGAGGGCGAGGCTATGTTGCACGGCTTTAGGTAATGGTAAGGGGTTTGACGTTTCCGGACAACATGCAATACACGGTTAACGAATCACAATACACTGGGCCAGCTAACCAATCAGAGCCCATTGTGTATTTAGGAGGGAGTGGTATCATAGAAACAGGAAGTCAACCGGCCGTTCAAATTACAATGGAGACAGCGGCGTAGAATAAAGCTAAAATATATGAAAAATTAGGCCTTTTTTTTAAACGAAGCATTAAAGGGTTAGTTCACCTAAAAATGAAAATTCTGTCATTAATTACTCACCCTCATGTCGTTCCAAACCCGTAAGACCTTCATCCTTGGAACACACATTAAGATATTTCTGATGAAATCCGAGAGCTCTCTGACCCTTCCATAGACAGAACACAACCAGTGTTGTGCGTAACGCGTTACTGTAATTAAATTACTTATCCACTGAAAAAGTAAAGTAAGGGATTACTGTTAATTTTTAGGTAATTTAATTACAGTTACTTATAACGTACTTGCGTTTCATACTGGAAATAATTTTAATAGTTCTAAAATTAATATTAATTTTGAAATCTAAATCTATCGTCTAAAGGTAAAATTGTATGCAGCGTCTTTAACGCTCTGTGCACCGGTGCGTTCACATTTTCCTGATAACAGAGAAAAGAACCTAAAATACTCAGATACAGATAAGACTAAAATCAATAGAATCTAAAAAGGGTCTACATTTATTTGTGTACTCTGACAATAACAACAAAACATTGTGCTTTTGTAAAATAAACAAAAAAACAGGGTGCGCTTTCTGCCGTCTCGGTCTCCGTGAGCAACTTTCTACGCATCACAAAAATGAACCGAAACTTAGCGAATACTTGACACACAGACACGAGAAACATGTCTATAGAAAGCTTGAAGTGTATACATTTTTAAATGAACCAATTCAAATCGAAAACGAATATTCTCTGATAATGTAATCTGTAACTGTAATGTTCCCAGACTGGATGAGGAGACGAATTGTTGAATAAAGTCGTTATTTTTGTTTTCTTTGCGCACAAAGTATTCTCGTAGCTTTATAATATTACGGTTGAGCCGCTGATGACACATGGATTATTTTAACGATGCTATGTTTCTGAGTCTTGATGGTGTTCGGATGCTTGCTGTCTATGGAGGCTCAGAGAGCGCTCGGATTTCATCAGAAATATCTTCAGTTGTGTTCTGAAGATGAACGAAGCTCTTACGGGTTTGGAACGACATGAGGGCGAGTCATTAATGACAGAATTTTCATTTTTGGGTGAACTATCCCTTTAAGTCATGTTACACTGCACCTCATAAACAAAATCATGCCTAGAAAAAAAGCAGTCAACCACCCCTTTAATACTGTAAAGCTGCTTTGACACAATCTGTATTGTTAAAAGCGCTATATTAATAAAGGTGAGTTGACAGCTGTTTCACTCTGCCTGCAGGTGGCGATGTCTCCAGGAGAGGACGGTCTAATCGGGATCCCCTTCCCGGAGCACAGCAACGAGCTGCTGTCTCGTCTCAATGCCCAGCGGCGGACCGGGCTGCTCTGCGACCTCACGCTGACGTCACATGGCGCACGCTACCCCACGCACCGCTCCGTCATGGCCGCGGTCAGCCTGTACTTCCGGCGTCTGTTCGGGGCGGAGGAGGGCGAGGATGGAGACGAGGGCGTGGGCGACAGCTGCAGTGTCTGTCAGCTGGACTGTGTGTCTCCTGACGCTCTGGCCGCGCTGCTGGAGTTCGCCTACACCGCCACGCTGACCATCCGCAGCTCGGGCATGCGCGAGGTCCTGAAGGGCGCGCAGCTGCTGGGGATCCAGTGCGTGGCCGACGCATGCCGAGACATCCTGGGCGAGACGGGTAGGCATGGAACCATTACTGGTTTGACGATAAATCATGATAAAATTCCTCATGGTTAGTATTACCTTTCATATGTGACCCTGGACCACAAAACCAGTCATAAGGGTCCGTTTTTTGAAATTGAGATTTATGTATCATCTGAACGCTGAATAAATAAGCTTTCCATTGATGTATGGTTTGTTAGGATAGGACAATATTTGAAAATCTGGAATCTGAGGGTGC